TGTATTATCTATGTATTTTTATTTATGTAATGGAGTGCGGCGCTTATGTTGTGATTCCAATAGTCTGTCAACTGTTGGGAAACCCACACATTACATGAAGAATTTGATTGCGGAATAAAAATTTGTGATAATAGATAATTGATTCTGAGGATAACTTAAAAAGGAGTCGAAACGTCAAATTTCTATTGTATGGCGCTCATCGAAATCACACATCAAGATTTATGTAATAAATTAAATAAATATAAGATAATCGCATTAACAACTGCATTGACTCCCACAGCCGCGTTATTAGTTTTTATCATATAAAAAATAAGATATAAACCAAAATTAATCTATAATGCATTGATAGAAACAAATCCAACAAAAGGATTCTAAACAGAAATGTGTCCGCGGGGAGATTTTCAAAAATATAAATGTTTCCCAAGCTCTTTTTCGATCTTGTTCGGTCTATGAAGATATCTTTTCGGCTTTTCGCACACGTGTAACGTAGGGCACGCGATCTTGTTATACGAAGCTGTGCGAGGAAACATTCGCGTTCCACGGCATATTTCCGACAAACTTGGTGGAACGTCGGCGGGAACGACGCGAAAAATAATGCTCGCCTGAGCTTCATCCCTGCATGCAGGACTTATACCCTCGTATGCAGGTGTAATCTGTTCTACCCTTTGGATAGCTTGTACGAGCAACTTACCATGCTCAAGGCTCAGCACGTTACGCTCACTTACTCATTATTACACACTGCATGGCAACGTGATTTATGTCTGGAATAGATCTGTGCAAACTGCAGCGTATGAGTCAGTATCACTTAAGACTATATGACTAAAGATTATGGATTTAGGTCGCAGTCTGGCGATAAACTGAGCGTGAGTGAGACAAACGGATGGAGGCACTTCTAATGTACATGGATTTTGAGATTTGTCAAAGTATACACGGAAAGAACGGTTTTGTTGAAAAATTTAGTTAGATACAGATTTGAAAATAATTTTGTTTGGACCATCAAAATAATGTTTAGATCTGTATCTAGCTAAATTTTTAAATACCTCAGTAAAATCGTTCTTTTACGTGTATGTTTTAATTGTTAATGTTTATTGCCAAAATTTAAGATATAAGTGTAGCATCTCGTATGGTGCATATTACACATTTCATTATTATATCTTAATACATAATAATATTATACATAATGAAAATTATAAATAAAGCTCAAGCTAATTAATCATCATTTGTGATTAATTTGAAATATCAGAATTTTGACCTGCAATGTAAAAAATGCTCCATCTTTCTAACTAAAACTAATACGTTTTTTCTTTGATTACAACAATGGCATTTTTTGCTCCACTTTTGAAGTATTCAAATAAACATTAATAAAGTTTTAAAGTAATATCATAAAATGCTTCACACATTTGTATCCTCATTTTACTCTCATGAAACTCATTTCTAAAATATCCAGCAATTTGGACGCAATTCCGTAGTTTTCGATCAGTGACATTTCAAAATTAACGTAACGGAACGATATTTTGATATAGGAATGACCGATAAGATTTCGTCTCGCGGCGCGTCGGTGTGTTTGCTGGAACGCGTCCAAAGTTTTTCCAAAGTCGCGTGGGGGGCCGTGGTTCCCTCTTCTTTCGATGTCGCGACACCGAAAGTGGCATTGTACTCGTTTGAGACCACCAAAGAGTGCAGTAGCACGGAATGACGACGAGTTCTTTGATCCTCCCTCGAAGAGGCTGCATGCCGTCTAACGGGATTACCCCGCCCCGTGTAATTGCTCGTGAATGCGCAGATATACTCGCGACAATGGGTACACGTTGATGGGACCTCATCGATTCGAGGTGACGTGAAACGAATCACGATACAATACGCAAAATCGATCTGTAAAAACAATGCTTGATAAAACAAATTTAATACTAAAGAGCATAAAAAGTCAACGCTGGATGTTTTTGTAAAATTATTATATAATCTTTCGGAATTATACCAAATTAATTACAAACGTTTCGACACCTTTATCGTGTCATCTTCGGTGTGACATTAAAATATACATATAAACAATTGAAAATATACATATAAACTAATTTAGGAGAAATGTAAAATGTTTACGATTAATTTATATCATCGTCAATTGTTTATATGTATATTTTAATGTCACACTAAAGATGACACGATAAAGGTGTCAAAACGTTTGTAATTAATTTGGTATAATTCCGAAAGATTATATAATAATTTTACAAAAACATGCAGCGTTGACTTTTTATGCTTTTTAGTATTAAATTTGTTTTATTCATAAAGTTTTATCTTACAAGTTTAATGCTTAATAAGTTAACAACATTTTCGCACGGAGTGTACTTTCTGTTAGTTTGCATGACGTATTTATTATTTAAAGGAATTTAAACGACTGTTTAAAAAAGCAGGTGGATTATGGATTTAAAAAAATTGAAATTTATATTTTCTGTAATAAGAATATTGAAAAGATCATTATTTGTTGAACCCCTCAAAGCTAACACTTATATTTGATTCCTAAATATCCTTATATTTGATAAGCTTTCTATATCTATTACTAAATACAGAGATGGAACATAATCCTCGAATAAACACAGATGTAGAAATTAGTAAACAATAAAAGTTGTTAAAGAATCTGTTTACAGTTAACATTTGAAAAATTGTTTAAAACTTAGAACCTCAAAGATCTTCTTAGTTTCTTATTTTCAATTACTTGCAAATTAAGAACCTTGATATCTCAACATTTTCATCGAAAAAAAGCGATATCAAATTTATCAAAGAAGCTATAAATAAAAGAATTAGAAATATTTTATAAGAACACACTATAAAAAGAAATGTGTTTTATTCTTGTCCCCATTTTTTGAATACTTAAAGATGTTTTAGTTTTAAACTCTTTCAATAGACAAAACACTACGTGTTTGGATTTAAAACGTATAGTGTTTTTTATATAGAATAAAACATTTTAATATCTTGAACACACATAAAATTAAACACTTCTTTTTTTCAGTGCAGTGTATCATAATAGGTTTTCCAAAACGATAACAGATAACGAGTTTAGATAATTCAACAGATTTCGCACCGTTTATTATCTATGTTGTAAATTTGATGGAGCTATCATCAGTGATACCCGTTGTACATGCTGTCGATGGGATCTCGATCGCGGTATCGAAGTTTGCGTTAGAGAAACGAGCGCGACGGCTAGAAGCCCCGCGGCTACACTGATTGCGGCGGACCCTACGACCCGTACAGACCCGGGAACGCCGTCTCCGGCCGACCGGGACCCTCATCCAAGGACGTACCCGCTTCCCAATCAGAGGCGAAATCAGATTGTTTAACACAGCGGACACCAACTGCTATTTAAAGGCAGCATCTGCCCCATGGGGCTTGCTACATTCCGACGCGACGACGCTCTATCGTGGAAACCATTGTCGAGAATGTTATCATTATGGGGGAGCATCATTCGCATTGATTCTTCGCAAATCGATACATATTAGCGAGAATATAAATGAGACCGAATATTTCTTACAGTTCTTAACACTTACAAACGACTTACCACAAACTGTCCAGAACCGATTCGGTTCTCCTTGAAATATATCATTAAATACAAAAATCTAAGAGATATGTGTTTTTTTATATTAGCCTAATCTCAAATTTAAAGGGTGAAACCCCCTCAAAAAATGAATAGGTATGGGAGTATTTTCAAAATATTAGATTTTTGAACAATCCAAATAAACAGTTATAAAGTGTATATAAAACCATAAAAGTTTTGTTTAAAATATTTTTCTACATCTCATCGTTTTGTTGATATAATTGGAATCAAAGCGTTAGTTTTGAGAGGTTGTTTCATCTCTTAAATCTGAGATTGGGTTGATATAAAAAAATACGTGTCTCTCTTCGATTTTTATGTTTAAGAATATATTTCAAAGAGAATTGAATCAATCCGGATAGTTGTGGCAGGCCATTTGTTAGTTAATGATGTCTATTCTGTGAAATAAATGAAAAATGTTATAATCAAACTATATCCCCCCCCCCCCGAATTTACTTTTTAATTTTCTTTAACAAAAATAGATGCTTAGTTAAAAAATTCAAACATTTTATTAGCTAAATAAAATTTTAACAATTAATTTTCAATTCTTTATCACTTGAATAAAATTGTAACATAATTATAATATGTTGCATTGATTTTTTTAAAAGTAGTATAGATATAAACAACTAATAAAATATTTTTTAATGATTTTGAAGCTTATAAAACTTGAAATTGAAACTTGTGATGAACCGTAAAAAGTGCCGAGATAAAAATTGTAAATATATAAATAAAATACGCGTTGTTAATGACGTGACGGTCTTCGAGCCAATTTGGAAATATCGCGATCCCACTGATTTTCGAGTAGAGCCAACCGACTGACCTTTGCAGGCTATCGCCTGCGAGCATGTAACGAGCCAAAATTAAGGGGCATTGTACCCTTAAACAGATTGCACACGTCCGTGCGTGAACGTGACCCCTAAGGCTCTCGGACGAAAAACGCTCGCACGAAGAGGGAATCCTCGTATGATAAGACGAAGAGAGGGGGCCTACACTACGACGGGGATGACACGGCGACGAAAACGAACGGGGAGATAAACGTACACGTAGCACACTCAGCCCCGTGTGTTTGCCTACACGGAAATCCTCTCTAACGGATTCTAACGCTCGACCGAGTTTGCACTTTTTCATCTTCGGACCGATGACTTTCCTCCCGCGATCGAAGTATTCTCGAGCCACCGCTACATGAAAGTGTTCGGAAATCATCTGGCATCTCCTTCGACAGATAATTATACGTCCGTAATGATGGAAACTATGGTTCAGACTGAAATTCGAATGAATCGCACAGTCATATTTTACTGTTTTATTTAAATCCAGACCTCTTTTCATTTCTTAAAAACGAATCATTCATCCTAGATATATTTCTTCCTGTAAAATTTTGATGGGGAGTAATGCATGGATGCGAAACATCCTGTTTCAGGCTATGGAAGCAGCTTATCAAAGACAGCACTGGACACGCACAGCCATCTCAGGCAGCCTGGTATGTAGTAGGTAGATATTTTTGAGAAGTTAAAGCGTTCTCTCATTTAATCTAAAATGAATTCTAGTCAGTGAGATATTTGGCGAATTAATTTAATTAAAATCTCTACTTGTTAAAGTCATTAACATAAAAATATCGATCTCTGAAACAAAATTTGACAAATTTTTAAAACAAGGAATTTTTTATTTAGTTATCCCAAAGAATTATTCCAAATTTCATTGTAGATGATAGCGTGTAAAGTTCATCTCGGATGATCTATATAATTTAAAACAAAATTTCGTATAAATTTTTATTTATATCAAACTATGTTTAAATATAATTCATGTACTATCATATCGAACTTGCAATTTTTCTGTAATAATAAGTTATGTCCTTGTTTCACAAAATAATAATCCTTACTCTCTTCATATGTGTTCTATATTATGAAAAATTATGCATTAATCTTTATTTTGAATTACAAATTAAATAGATCACTTGACATGGTTTAAATGTAGGACTGAAAGTACAAGGTCTCTTTTCACCTGTAAAGCAGGCTTATCTATGCGATAATCAAACAAGGTCACTGTTACTTCGCGCGTCATCGATTCCTCGGAGTTTCGAATCGCGATGAGAAAAGAGCCTCGAATCCTTGGGCGTAGTCGCATCCCAGTATTTCTCTCTCCCATCAGTTCCCTCGTTCCCGGCAGATAAATGGGTGTACCGCGCCCCTTCCCATTATTAACTTGTAAGTGAATTACCGTTCGATCGAAAGGCGATCACTCCGGCACGCATTCAGCGGATTCATCAGGCGAAACGACCTTTGAGGTCCGGCAATTCCGAATCCGTCCCCATCATCCGCGTCTGTCTCCCTCTCATAATCGCTCGACTTGTATTTTTATGGGGTTCGTCTTGGAGTTCTCGTATCGACTCTTCTTCGTTCAGACTATCGAAATCATTAAATCGGGACGTTTAACCTCCTCGTTAAAAAGTCTGTGACATTTTTTTTTATTTAAAAGAAATTGTAAGGTATTTTCACTCACACACATTAATTAGGCCTATTGTTAATCCACAATCTTTAGCTATCTTAATTTATAATTACCGTTAATAAGAGTTCATAAATCCCCCCTTTGCTGTATTATTTTTTAAATGAAGTAAATATATATAAGGATCTCTAAATACAGAAAAAATATAAATCAAGACATTCTTTATTACGAATCATATGTTAGAATTTGATCACAAGTTTGATTGGAAGGATGTAATAATATCAGATTCAGAACGAAATTATTATATAAAAGATTAATATCAAAAATGATTCATATCAAAGTCTAGAAAAGTAGTATTAATACTAACGAGAACACTAAACTTTTAAATAAATCGTATTTTAACATTTTTAACGTACTTAAAAGAATTTTAATAGTGATTATTAATATGTTTATATACACAATAGCACACCGTCTGATCTTTATTATTTAACATAGTTTATAATTAGCGTTATCTTCATTCCATTCTTGATCTTGAACAACATTCCATGTGAAAATTATATCATAATCTACAGTAATTCTGTAAGTTTGCTCTCTTTTTATTATTTCTTTTTTTCTATTGGTTCTTCCAGTTACGTTTACATTCTAATATTGTTATATTCATCTTATAGTTTAATGTTGAGTAATTTAATGTTGAGTAAGGTAAATACAATACAGACTGACATGAATCTTCGAAAATTATGTTCTTTTTGTTGGTTTTCTCGACTTGAGATATTAACGGAGTAACGAAAATGCTTCAGAATTCACAGAATGTAGGAACGCGGTGGTAGATTACTTACAATTTTAATTTTTCCTTTTGACCAATACTATTAGAATTATTTGCGACTTCTTTTATCTTTTATTATTTTGACATTCTAATTTTTAATCCCCTATGACTTTTCATGTATAATTAAATTTTATTTCTTGTAAATTATATGCGACTGAAGAAAACTTGAAATTAGTTTCGCTTATTTTTAATGTATTTAAATTCACTTAATATTTTATGATATCCTTCATTTTTGCTCTTCTTTAACTCTTTTCCTTCTATTATTATATTGTTATATGCTATATTTAAAAAATTCTAAAAATATAATTTTGTAGTTACATAAAATATTTATGTTATGTTACTCATTATTTCAGACAATAAAATTCTAACCGTAGTTTTGAGAAAAGCTGTCTTTAGTATCCAATAGCATCCAATACTATTGCGCTTTTTCTTATATTGCAATATTGCGACGATAAAAATCGATATATCGAGTCGCTTGTCTAAACCTTCGAAAAGCTTAGAAGACACTCGTCGCCCTTTAAGCCACTCCGTCGGCAGTTTCTCAAATTGAAATTATTATGATCCAAATGAATTCTATTCTATTGTGGGGTTGCGATTATGTTCTTTTGTATGACTGTAGGGCCCTTCATGTCTGAGCGGCGAGCGTCGGTGATGACGCATTGTAAAGCTTTTAAAGGGTGATACGGGGGCCCTTGAAAAACAACCGTGTAATGGATAGGTATATCCTACATGAAACTGCGAAAATTTTTATCGTTTGTGCTTCACAGTGTGAAAACTGAGTTTACGTTTATTGGTATAAATCACGCAAACATTTTGCTCTTACATATAATTAACAAATTGTCATAGTATTAGGAGTGTGATTTAGTTTTGAAGGTTTTGCAAGAGATGGCATTAATGTCAGTGTTGTCAAAGACATTTCAATCACAGCTATTATTTCTTAATGCTTTAATATTACTCCATGATATTTAGTCGTTTGCTAACAATAGACGCAGTAAACATCGTATTTATATTATTTAAAAAATAGAGCTTCCTAAAGAGCATTTGCGTTGCTTTTGCTTTTTAATCAGAAGAAAATAGCGGCTGAAGGTCACAGAACTCTGATAGAAACTTATGGTGATGTCCATCAATTAAGACGTGCGAATATCGGTTCTGTCGATTCAAAAGTGGTGATTTCAATGTTAACGATAAAAGCTGGAAAATGCAGATTTGCAAGCATTATTGGACGAAAATCCAGCACAATCCACGTCAGGACTTGCCGAAGAATTAAATGTTGATCGCACAACAGTTACTAAACGTTTACGTGATATATTGTTTAAATAAATCAGTTTAGAAAAAACTCAAAACTAAATCACACTCCTAATAATATATTTTGAGAAGGGAGGAAGCGATCTTGACATACTTGACTAGTATCAAATTTGATCTCGTACTTGAGGATAAAATTCCCTCAAAAACATATTTACTCAAGCAATCTAATAATTAAATAAATATGAAACTTGCCAAGTATTATGAATCTCTTATGACCCACAGATCCCTACCAAATGTTCGGGGCGACGAGCAGTCGTCTCGCAAGCTCTGGTTCCGGACAAATACAGCTCTGGCAGTTTCTACTCGAGCTTTTGTCGGATTCAAGTAACGCCGCGTGTATCACGTGGGAAGGAACCAATGGTGAATTCAAGTTGACCGATCCCGACGAGGTGGCGAGACGATGGGGCGAGAGGAAGTCCAAGCCTAATATGAATTACGACAAATTGTCAAGGGCCCTGAGGTGAGTTTCAGGATGGCGCTCTCCCATCGCGCCGCGCCGGTTCGCAACTCGCGACAACAGCGGCGCGTTTTTCCCGAACGTCAAAATGAAAAAGCCATTAACAGACCATCATTTATGTTTTGACGAAGTTTCGGGGTGAAAGTAAATTCGTTCGATATATGAACGTATTCGAATGTTTCGCGTTTGCTCGCGTGCACGTGTGTATATATGTTGCTGTCGCGTCGGGACTCAGGGGGTGGCGGACAAGGGAGAAATTTCAATCATCGACAGTCAGACTGACGGTAGACGTGGCTATTATTTTTCCATCAGATCCACTGATTATATTACGCGATTGCTCTTTTTGACGTCCCTTTACTAACCGTATAAGAACTCTCTGACAAGCAAGCTCATTTTCAATGTCAAAGTTGAAGACGTTGAACTTAAAATCCAATTTTTTTACCGCAAAATTTATATATGTATAGCAAAATTTAAGAAATAGTGTCAAATATATGTCAATATAAGAAATAACATACACACAATATTTATAATTTCGAAAACAGCAAATAATGAACTGTCTTTGAATCACTTATACGATTTATTATACGTATTAATGCTTATATTAAATAATTTTACTAAAATTAAAATCATGGCTTTGAAAACAATATATAAATCTTCGTTTTATTTGATGAATTTTTGAAGTCATCGCGTAACGGTTGCAGTCTCAATTTTATAAGTTTGATAGCAAATCGTATATGCCAATGGCAAATCTGCCGATAAGTTAATAAAGCTAATCAAGAAAAGTTAAAGATTTTGGGATAGTCCCTGAAAATTAGATGTGCTGTCCAATTTTTTAAGAGAAACTCACAGAAATTTATTAGCTTCAAGCTCCTGAAAATGTAGAACTATTATAACTGAACGTTAGAATTCATAAAATCTAAATGGAGCGTCCGGTCTGTTTGCAGGTATTATTACGACAAGAACATCATGACGAAGG